ACGCGTTTCCTAGGAGATGAAAGGTAACAAATTGTTCGAAGCGTTGCATGACAACGGAAGGTTCATTGCATAGCAACCGCCGAGGTTATAAAAGCCAAGCTTCGACAAGAGACGAACTTCGACAAGAGACAAGCCAAGCTTCTACAAGAGACGAGTTAACCCCGTGTGGGGGCGGGGTCGAATACCTCCACCGTGACCCTGCGAGTCGTAAGAGGCGACGAAAAGGGAAGTCTCAATTCTGAGACAGTAAAATATGATCATAAGTCTCAAGAGACTCAGACCCAAGAAAGACTTCGCTGGCAAGGGCCAGCAGCATATACAAAAGACAGACCCGTCCTCTCATCAGCGAGGGAGCCACACAAACTCAAGACCGTAACTGTCAAACAATAATAAATATCTAGTCATGAGCCCCAGATGGGGCTCGAAACCAAGGCTTACCGACTGACTGAGCGTCGGTTGGAATGTGACTTTGACTTTGACTTGAGACGAGTTATTGGGCCCGAAGGCAGTCTAGTATTCGCCGAAATATAGTGGAAGCAGTAATTGTGATACTGCAAGTGATAATAATTGTAAAGCGTGTGAGTGTAGAAGTGGAGCACAATAAAGATTCGCTAAATCCGAGACCCATGTGAAGTTATTTGTCGCATAACATATCCAACACGTGACAGTATTTACGAGTAAATTTGTTTACTGGGTCGCGGTCTCATAAAGGTTGAGAACCACTGCTGTAGAGGACCGGTGATCGTTTTAATCTTCGTGGTTGCGTTGCGGTTGCCAGTTTCCTTGGTGTGCCCTCGCTCTAATTACAAATTATTCTAATGTCACTGAATTTATACACGAAATAGTAGGCCATTCCACGGGTCTCATGCGTCATGTCACGGCACTTTCGTGAACTACTGTTGTCAATGTTCCTGCTGGAAGTCCCAGATATCTGAATAGGTCTTCAAACCATGCGAGTCCTTGCCATGGCTCTACATGGAAGATTAACGTGAAAAGGGTGCCGGCAGGACATAGGCAGAAAAGACCAGTGCGGCCATTATGTACGCAGCCGCATACACTGGATTTAAGCCGTGGCCTAATATATACTCACAATACGGAGGCTCGCCGCCTTCATGACTGCACTCGCCTTGTCGCTTTGGCGGTTCCACGTGGATTCTCTCCATAATTTCGCCGCCCGTGTGGCGTCGGACAAGTATGAAGTTAAACGCCTTTTTATCAATTGGGCAGTTATTTTCATTCTGTGACAATTCTTGGAGGCAGGCAACACAGAACGTGTGATCACAAGTGTCTGGTGTCGCAACCTCTTGTGTAGTAAAAGTTTCTGAGCAAACAGGACACTTTACTGAGTCTTCGTCACTACTGTTGACCACTATTGAGAGTTCGGCGACTTGTTCACCCTTATGAGCACTACGAGGTGCATCACCACTGTTGTCTTCTAATGAGTGCCTGGTGACTTGTTCACCTTCATCATCATTAGGAGGCCCATCACTACTGTTGGCCACTAAGGAATGTTGGGCGACTTGTTCACCCTCTTGAGCACTACGAGGTCCATCACCACTGTTGTCAACTAAGGAGTGTTTGGCGACTTGTTCACCTTCGTGAGCACTACGATGCCTAGCATCGGCATGACGCTCTGGCTCTAATTTTACACCCCTGAATTCAATGACCTCAGCTGTCTGTTCTGGTGCAGCCGAATGTGGGTGAAACGCGTCTTCTGCTGTTGTTCAGATCCGCAGTATCTAACATGCTCCTCCGCTTCCTGGTTGGTGCAGATGGCATCTCCTCATTGTGTTTCCAACAAGCATTTCTCTTCCTTTTTGCAGTCTCGCCTTCCATACCCTTAGTGGCGATGCTGTTCAGATCCGCAGTATCTAACATGCTCTTCTACTTACTAGTTGGTGCAGACGGCATTTCCTCATTGTCTTGCCAACAAGCACATCTCTTCCTCTTTGCAGTCTTGCTTTCCATGCTCTTAGTGACGCTGCTGTTCCTCATAGTTGAATCTAGTACGGTAAACTATTATATAACCTTGGAATCCTTTTCAAATCTACTTTGCGTTATGAGTGTGCCGATTGAATACGAAGCCTTCCCGGTTTTCACTAATCGTTGCTGGGTAAGGTTCTCGTTTTATAACCTAGTAACGACATCATGGAAAACGCTCCGTAATTGTTGCGGAACTGCTGTTGACTAGATCAGCGTTGGCCAACCTAATACATTTCGAGGGCCAAATTTAGTTTATAGAACACCATCAGGGGCCAGACACAGTGTTTCTTTCATAAGAGTGGTCGGGGAGTATTGCCCCCCCAAACTGAATCAGTCACAACCCGTGTAAAAACAAGTGCATTTAAACCTATGTATTTAAATTTTACGTTGCACCAATAATATTAAGTCGATATTGAAAATTTCACCAATCGATTTTATTGCCTTCTATCACTTCTACCCCCAGAGCATTTTTTCTTAAAGAAACACTGGCCAGATCATGCCGTATGTTTAGTTTTATATATGCCGGGGGAAAATGCAATTATAATTTAAGAAAGAAAAATAAAATGCCTTGAAATTTGCAATTACTTACCATAAAACAGCACAAATTCCTCTTTCAGCAGGGATGAGCACAAAAGGCTTTCAATCGTAGTTTTTATGGTCTAATGATTATACCTAAATCCTCATATACACACTGTTTTAATGAGAGCACTGTGGTTTCATAAAACTGGAAACCAATGATATAAAATCCACTTCTAATTGTGAGGTTGCCACTCGAAGAATATGTGATAACACGACATCTGAAAGTCTGTTCCTGTTTTTAGACTTTACATGCTTCAGTGATGAAAACGCTGTTTCGCATATGTAAGTACTTGCAAAAACAGAGCAAAGTTTGAGAGCCAAATTTCGTAACAGTGGGTAACGTTCTGGTGAAAGCAGTTTCCAAAAGTCAATTCCAGTAACCTGAGATGTGTTTAAGGATGGGTCACATTGAAGTTCACAAAGCTCTAATTGCAGATGACCTGGCTGAGATTCTATATCACAATGTATAGGATTACTGAATAAAGAAATATCAGGTCGAAAGCTTTCAAAATCGTTAAATCGTCGGTCGAATTCTGAAGACAAATCTTCAATAATTTCAGTGTAGTCCCTAAACTCCAAGCCTTCTTCTTCTTCTGAGAGTTTCCGACAGCAAGGGAAATGTAGAAGGTTATTTTTGTCCAATGCAGACTTAAATAAATGTAGTTTCTACGGAAACTGTCAACAAAGCCAACCATCTGACATATTGTCTGCTTCTTGCCTTGCAATTGCAGATTCAGGACATTCAAGTGTTGAGTGATATCAGTGAGAAAGGCCAAGTTTCTCAAGAATTCGACGTCTTCGAGATCATTCTGCAGTTCAGCAGAATTCGTAACCTCTTCTCTTAGGAATGTTGCTATTTCATGACGGAGTTCAAAGAACCGTACCAGACATTTCCCACGGCTTAACCATCTTACTTCAGTGTGCAGAAGCAGGTCCCCGTAAGCAGAATCCATTTCTTCCAAGAGGGTCAGAAATTTTCTGTGAGTGAGTGATCGATTTCCTCCTCTGATCAAATTAGTAATTTTTGTGACAGTAGCCATGGTGGTAGACAGTTTAATTGATTTGGCACATAGAGCCTCCTGATGTATAATACAATGCAAGGTAGGTACAGTAATTTGATTCTGTCTTAAAAATCCAACAAAACCGCTTATTGTCCCTGTCATTGATTTAGCGCCATCTGTTACTATGGAGGACAATTTTTCAAAACCACCGAATTCCTCCACTGCACTCTTAACAGCGTTAAAAATATCGACACCTCTAGTTGTGCTGTGTAAAGAGCACACTTTTAACAACTCTTCGAAAATTGTAAAATCTTCCTTAATTGCACGAACAAATATCAGCAACTGATTAGTATCCGAAACATCTGTGCTTTCGTCGAGAGCAATTGAGAAATAGGAACAATTAGCGATAATGTCTTTCACATTATTAGATATCTGGTTGCTAATATCTTCCAGCCTCCTAGTAACAGTCTGTTTTGAAAGGGGCACTGTTTGAAATTTGTTTCCTACCTTATTTTCATTGAAAGCTTCTGCCATCTTTATCGCACAGTTCTTAATTAATTCACCATCACTTAACGCTTTTTTAGCTTTCATTAATTCATATGTCACGAAATAAGAAGCCAGCAAAGCTTCTTCTTGTTGTTTTGTTTCATTGGTAAAAAGAGATTTCTGCTGGAAAAGTTTTTTCTTTAACTGATCGCAGACTACTTTCCTTGATTCACAAGAGTGTTTTCCGAACTTCTGTTTATGATTTGTCATGTAATGCCTCTTTAGGTTGTACTCCTTTAAAACTGCTAGCACTTGAAAACATACTAAACACTGTGGCTTGTGGTCTTTATTTAATAAAAAAAAAATAGTCATGTTCCCACTCAGATTTGAACGCCCTATTTTCACTATCAACTTTTCTCAATTTACTATTTGACATGCCGTATCACTTACAATAACTTCAAACACAATTCTAATTGAAAAACAGTTCTACACTCACACTCCATATTCACACTTCACTTTCTAAAATCGTACTAAATGGGAGACATTTCTGCTAAAACTGGCACTTAACAAAGGCCAGGATGCCGAGAGAAACGGTAAACATACCATCGCCGCGAGCAAGCTGGGAATGGTTACTATTTTTAAGGTGTCATAAATCCTACACCACTACGGTCTTCCCTTCAGTGTCATCTCCCTACAGAAGTAGGGTTGGGGGACTTGGGATTTCCATGACATGAACACAGTTATTAGAAAACAGTCTGAACTGTCCAACTCGGTAAGAACGTATACACTCAATTGCAAAATGCTGTAAGCTAATGAAACGTCCTATTAAAAACTGAATTCTATGCCAAACAGCTGTGGCGTTAAGATTTTTTAAAATAAACCTGAGACTTGGCGGGGGGCCGGAGTAAGTCAAGTCGCGGGCCGGATACGGCCCGCGGGCCGCCAGTTGGTCATCGCTGGACTAGATACAGCAAATGCGTTAATCGAAGAGGGAGCGTGTTTACTGGCGTTGCCTAGCAATTGGTCGCCTCGTCTAGCTTCAGTGTTCCGGCGTTCAGCATCCTGTCGGCGTTTTATCTTGAAAACGTCTATTATAAGCTATATATTACATACATTTTGTACAATGAATTTTGTCGCCAGGTAAGGCCATTTTGATGAACAGTTATGCATTTAACAAGTTTCACAGTCACTATCTTGAGCTCGAAGAGTGAAGACGTGAGTACATTCATTCATTCATTCATTCATTCCATAAATCCATAACCGGGCAAAGGCCTACAGATGCAGAACAAGTCAATAAACATTCTTAGCAGGACAAGACAAACACAAGTCAACAATATATACTACTGCTTTTAGATATCTAAATTTATAATATACAATTAAAAATGTGTACTGCACATATTCTAAGTTTATTTACAACAAAATTATTTTTACCCAGAATATCGGGCGAGTCAATATACAAAACCAGGATAATAAAACATACCTATATTAAAACAGTACTTAGTAGCAGGGAATAGTATATTCTAACTCTCAGTATATTGATAAACCTCATTCATGGAGTAAAAGAATGGTGGCACAGAAATCCATTTAAAGTGGATTTAAAACCCTTCTCATCATTCACCAATCTTTTTATTGAATGAGGCAAATGATTACAAACTCTTATACCTGCGATATAGACATCTTTGTCAAATTTGGCCAGATTCATGTAGGTACAAGATTTACATAACCTAGTTTTATGATTATGTAATTCACTCTTGTTCCCAAGTAAGTTTTTATTGTTGACCACAAATAAAAGTAGTGCAGATATATATTGGGAATACAGTGTCATTATTTTCATCCTCTTAAAAATCTCCCTACAGGAGTCTCTTGGCCTCATATTCATTATGACTCTGATAATTCTCTTTTGCATTACGAATACCTTTTGCGCTAGGCTAGCACTGCCCCAGAGGATTATTCCATAACTAATAATAGAATGAACATGGGCAAAGTAGATTAACCTTAGCGTTTCTGTTATTACTGTATGCTTTATATTTCTAATTGCATAACCTGCTACAGATAATTTGTTTATAATATAATAAATGTGCTGGCTCCAAGACAAAGTTGTCATCAATAATTAAACCCAGAAATTTAGTCTCAGTAGCTGTAACATAAGCTGGTGATTTGTTATCAGGATATGCCTAGAGAAAATATTATACAGGTGTAACCATTGCTGATAGCAATAACCTAGCAATGAATAGTGAAAGCAGACTGAGGAGACTTAGTGTGGTGTTAGAATGTAATAATTAATTTTGTTTTCTAGTGAAACTGCAGCAGAACAAATGATAAACTACCTTTCTGTGAGGCGACTGGCATGTGGACAGCACCGGGACTGGGTAGTAATATAGACCCACAGCAACAGGTAATGCAACAGCAATTCATAGGCCCAATACTACAGTACCAAATTAAACAAACCAGCTACAATATGATGCCTTTGGAGCAAGCAACAATTAACATAACCCCATCAAAAAGCAATAACAATAATAACACCCAATATGAGCCAGAAATAAGAACAAACTACACTTGGCAACAGGTAAAAAAAAGGAAGAGATCTAACCAAGCCCCAGAAACAACAGGAGGAAACCCCTTTCTAAATTGAAGCACATCATGCAAAGCCTTATGGGGCTGTCTGTATGGTTCATTCCTATCATACAGTGGCTGTGATACACATTATGTGCAAAGCTCTTATAGCAGTAAAAATTGTTCTGGCTTTCAAATCACAGGCAACTGACAATTCCAGACTATTTAACACTTAGATAAACTCATAAAAATGGCCTCTTCTTATACTTCAGACACTTACTTAGGCCGCTTGCAGTTCTTAAATTTATTTCATCTTATTTTTCTCTAGATACTTACATTGTGAGAATCCCATGACAAACACAAGATAAATTGACACAAATCGCAGGAGGTCACCCATAATCATGCGGTATATCATCACCACAAATGGTCCAACTGTTTTGAAGCCCCTGTGGAAACAGATCCCATTCACATGAGATATCTAACCCTGAATTCTGTTGTCTTGTTAGAACATCAGCATGCTTAGCCAGTGAAAATATCCTATCTCATGCCATCACTATGACTGTATCCCAACTGCTTCAGTCTTTAATATACACAATTAATAAATGTTACTCAAACAGTGTTTACCACTGGTTCATGTAAACATGAAACTGAGACCTACATACCTGCAGAAGAAGAGGAAGTATGGCGCTGTTGTCAGCATGATGAAAACAGCAACTACATCTTCAATCTCTGTGAGGCAGGAGAATCTGAGGAGTGGCATGAAGAGCATCAGAACACAGGAGCACAGGAACATAACACGTGATGGTGCTGTCATCTGCACAGTAAATTTGGAAGAGGGTACAATACAGAAAGCAAGAAAAAATTGAGGTCACATAAAATAATTTCCTTGATTTCTCAAAACAGGAAAAGAATGTAGACTGATGTTGTTTGAGAACAGGCTGTGCATGAGAATATTAAGATGTCGGAAGAAGCAACAGGGTCTGGATAAATTGAAATTCCATAATTTGTAGGTAGGACATATAAGGAACACATGTGGGAGATGTGAAATGCATACAGATTTTATCTAGAAAACTGCAGTGAAGAGACAACATGGGAAACATAGACATAAATGGAAGGGTAATGGTTGGTTGTGTGTTTATTTATTTATGATCTATTTAAGGACACTGTTAATAACTCAAACCATATAATTCTATGAGGGTGAGTCAAATGAAAACCTTAAATTTGTAATAAAAAATCGAAATTTTGCGCCATTATCCTGTAAGCTGGTAAGTGTGCTACAAACAGCGTCAGAATGGCCTGTAGGTTGCAGCATAGTGCAGATGCATGAACACCGTCACAGCACCAGTATAAGATGGCTGCCCCACTTGAGACTTGCACCAGGGAAGAACAGCATTCTGTTGTTCGGATTTTGTGTAGTGAAGGTGTGAAACCTATTGAAGTTTATCGAAGAATGAAATTTCAGTACGGTAATGCATGTTTGTCACAGCAGCAAGTGTACGAATGGAGTAGGAAGTTTGCAAATGGTGTGACTTCAGTGAAAGATGCTCCTCGTCTGGGTCAGATACATTGAGTTGTGACTCCAGAGAACACTGCAGCAGTTGAAGCCATAGTGAGGGAAAACCGCCAAGTGACGTTGAATGAAATTGCAGCAAGTTTAAACATTAGTCATGGTTCAGCACACCACATTGTGCATGTTGTGCTCCAGTTTCACAAAGTGTCTGCAAGCTGGGTGCCACGGCAACTGACTCCTGAATTGAAAGACCGACGTATTGATGCTTGCGAAGAACTTCTGCAGCACTTTGAACGAGAAGGTGATGACTTCCTTGCAAGAATCATTACTGGGGACAAAACCTGGGTTCACTTCCACCAACCGGAAACGAAGAGAGCGAGCAAGTAATGGCGCCATTCCTCATCTCCAAAACTGAAGAAGTTTTGAACACAACCATCAGCAGGGAAGGTTATGCTGACTCTGTTTTGGGATGAAAAAGGCGTCCTCTTGGAGCACTACACGCCTAGAGGGACCACTGTCACCAGTGCATCATACTCAGATCTCCTAAAAAATCATCTTCGGCCTGCAATCAAATCAAGCAACGTGGATTGCTGTCCACAGGTATCCTTTTGCAACATGACAATGCAAGGCCCCATACTGCCCGTACAACAGTTGTGACAATCAATGACCTGCATTTTGAGTGTCTTCCTCATCCGGCATACTCACCAGACCTTGCCCCAAGTGATTTCCATATGTTTGGACCACTCAAAGAAGCAATGGGAGGAAAGACGTTCAATTCTGATGATGAGGCATGCCATGCGGTGCATGAGTGATTGCGCGGACTATCAAAAGAATTTTTTTTCTAAAGGAATTCATGCACTTGTAAGCACTGGAGGACTTGCATTGAGCGTGGGGGAGATTATGTTGAAAAGTGATACAGCTTTGTACCACTTTTGCGCAATAAATAATACTCAAAAAATATTTAAGGTTTTCATTTGACTCGCCTGCATACATAGCAAGATATAACAACAAATTCAACAAAATATAACAAATTCAAAAGTAGATGGAAGGAGGCTGTTGTGGCCTAATTTGTGATACTCTCATGGCATATATTTTGAAGGTCTGAAGAAAATCAGTAGCAGCCTAAGTCATGACAGACTGTCTTTGAACCTAGGTCCTTCTGAATATGAAGCAGAGGTGCTAACCACTTTACCTCTGCATTCAGTGGGAGCACAAAATTAAAATGGGTCTCTAAGAAATACAGTGTGCTAGCATGGACAGTATTCATCTGTCTCAGGGCAGTGATCAGTGGGGGACTCCTGTGATCTTGGTAAAGAATTTCAGGTTCCATAAATGGTGTGACCGGCTATGGAATGGACTGCCAAGGCTTCCAAGAAACACTGTTCAGTAAATCCTTCCTTTTGTACCACATTAACAGTTTAAATCTGTAGTCAGGTGAACATGTGTCTACTCTCTGTACATAGGTGTAAAGAGCAACACACGACACACAAAACACACAGAGTTAGTGGTTACATGAACATTACTTAGCCCCTTGATATATACACCCAGAATTTTTTTTTTCATCCTCAGCCATAGGTGTTGAATGAATGAATGAATGAATGAATGTATGAGGTGTAGGCCTTTTTGGCCCTTGCACCGCGACGTATAGTGGTCTGTTGTGCTTCCCCTTTATTGATTATCCCCTCAGCAGTCCCGCTTTTCGAATGAAGCACAGGATTTTGTGTGTGGGGGCGTCAAAATAGTCACTTGGTTCCATAAAATATTGACCCAATCTTAAATAAGCTAAAGCCTCACATTCGCAAAGGATATGTGTTGCTGTTTCGTTTTCTTCTTGACACCTCTCACAAGTGGGACTATCACTTAGTCCCAGTTTGAACAGGTGTCCTTTGAGGTGACAGTGTCCTCTAAGTAGTCCTACCACCCATCGTAGTTGGTTCCTGTTTTACTTTAACAGTTCCTTCGTCCTCTTAATAGAAGGTCCTCATATGAGTCCCTTTGCTTGCCTGAGTCCAGTTAAGGATCCCCAGTATTTCTTGTGTCGCATGTTTGTCCAGTCCCTGATTGCGTGTCTGGCAACTCCTGTAGAGATGCCACAGGCTGGTTCAGGTCCTATGAACGGATGTTCAGCTCCAGTCTTAGCTAATTGGTCTGCTCTTTCATTTCCAGCAATACCCTCATTCCCCTCATTGGACCCTGTTATGTTTGGCCACTTCCATGTGGGTTTGGTGGCAATCCCAGACCAATTTTGAGCTGATTTGGTGTTTGTCAAGCGCTTTAAGTGCAGCTTGACTGTCAGATAGAATGTAGATGTTCCTATTTCTATAGTTCCTATCTAAATTCTCCATAATACATGTCGTAATGGCATATACTTCTTCCTGGAATACTGTCGTGTACTGCCCAAGGCTGAAACTAAGTTTCCACCTCGTGCCATAGCAGTACACACCAGCTCCAGTGCCCTTATTTATCTTGGAACCATCTGTATACCAGATCAGTCCCCCTACTGGCCTGAAACCCATCTCCCCATTCACTCCTGTCAGGAAATCTGACTGAAAGATTATTCATATACATGTCTCAGTATCATTTTGTCAGACCCCATTTGTAATATGGGTTCTTTTTCATGTCCTGAGTTGTGTATGCATGGCCGAAACCATCGAATCTGGGTTTCCATTGTTCACTGCACTGGAGATGGTAGATTCCTGCCCTGGCCTCTGCCTCCAACTGTAGATGCAGTGGGGGGAGTCCAAGGAGTATCTCCAGTGCAGCTGTTGGAGATGTTCAAATTGCTCCTGTGATACCTAAGCAAGCCAACCTTTACAATTTGCTAAGTTCTGCCTTGCTTGTCTTGAATTTAACTCTGAGCTATAGGTGTTACAAAAGGCTGTATGTGTGCTGACGCATAAGGCTTTGAAAGTAGGAAGACTTCAACCACAAAGAGATAAAAATAGAAAATAAGTGGACAAGAAGAAAACAAAACTTAAAAGAAAGCAATTATTAAAACTGACTTATACCCCCCCCCCTCCAAAATATTCTGATGGCAAAGTTTGTTTAACTGTACTTTTGGTTAAATACTGAAGACAAAAAGGGTCAACATATTAGTTTGCCTCACTGTTCTGCTATATGTGAAACTTACTGTAGCTTTGATATCTGAAAATGTGTGATGCCTTAAAATGTAATGATGTTGGGCTTAGTCATATTCACACTCCTTTTGCTTTACCCCTGGAGAAAGGGCTTCCAGTCTCTTATTCTCTGGTCAAGGTTGGGTTCATACCAAGTTCTCGATGAACATGTTGAGACCAAGAAAGCGTGCCTCCCGTAGAGCTGCCAGAATGTATAGCACGGAACCAATCTCCATGCATAACTCACAGATAACTCGAATCTTCGCTTTCAGGGACCCAAACTGCATCAGTCGACACTCCTCTATAAGGTCTTCCCACCAGTCATCGTCATCATCATCATCTTCATCTGCTTTGTTCTGTGTATTGCAAGCAGAACATAATGTCACATCAGCATATTGTAACATAAGTTATAATAGTAGCTATGTGTACCACCTGTTTTCACCCTCAGAACTCTGTATTTTGCCCAGAGAATGTATTTATGTGTTCTGTAGTATGAAGGAGTTTCTTCAAGAGCACTCTCGACAAAGTAGGAACCTACTGAGATATGTGACTGGCATGTTTAGAGGTCACTGTCCTCTAAAAGGACACCTCAGCGCAATGGGATGAGTAATTAGTTCCATCTTAAAGATACCGCAACAAAGACAGAGACATCTCAGAAGTTTGTGCGGTCATTCCATTGATTTTGTTACCTAGGAAGTATGGGCATAAAGTGTCCTAGAATGTCAGAACATCCATGCAGTCCTTCACAGCGGGGGGGGGGGCATTAGAAAGTTTCTAATGGGCCACATGAGAGCAGAGTCAGCCACAACCGCAAGCATATTTGAAGACAGAGTAATTATTTGTAAGTCCAATATACACATTAATATTCATTCTTTATCATCAAACAGCATCAGCTATTAGCTGCATTGTCTCATTTACTGAAAATTAATCATAATTCTAATGTTTTGAAGTCAAATATTTTTTAATGAATATTCACAATGATGGTATAGAGATATGTATCAACAAACTCTTTACCTGTGTTGTAAAGTCCCTCTTGATTCTTGTGTTCTTTCGTTTTTCTTCTGCAACTTCTTCACCATGAGAAGAAATTCCAGTGTAATTGAGGTGTTTATTTGAAGCTGAGTACTGTGTATGGTTGCTGGAGTTCCTACGGTACATACCACCCAAATAAGAAACCTCTGAATTCAAAGTGTTATTTGTGGGTATAAACGGTTCACCTATTTGGTCATTGTAATCAGGTGATGAAAATATTCTGTATGGCAAAGGTATGTTTTTAATGAATGAATGGTTTTGGAAGTAAAACTCTAGTGAAAGATTAGAATCTTGGACTGAAATATCTGATAATCTTAACTGTGATGACATGTGAGAAAAAGTTGAACTGTTGCTCAGTGGGATAGGAGTAGTGACATTTGAGCTAGTACTATTGAGGGGTGGAGATGTTGTAGCTGCTTGCTTTGGAGGTGGACCAGGCCTGAGGGTAAAGCAAACCAGAGAAATTAGAAAGTAGAAGAGAAACAAGAAGAACTGTCGGTAGAACCTGAAAAGGAACAAAAGATTTATAAGAACACAAAATAGGCCAATTGCAAGAATGTGTTTACAAGTCAAAGCACATGCTACAGAACAATTTCTTGGGGAGATAGTCTTTATACAGTGCATCCTGTTGTGTCCCCAAAATAAATCTAACTTCCATGTTCTGTCTACACAACTCTAAGAATGTATAACCATCCAACTGGTCATCATCACGTGATAACATAATTACAAGTGTTGTTGATTTGCAACCATCTTAACTAACATATGGGCCCATATTTACAATCATCTCTATCTATGCTGGATTTATTGATATAAATCATAAAAATGACAAAATTATAAAGTTGCTACATTATAATGTAGATTAGGTAAAACTAATCCCATATCATTGAAGTAAAATTAGGTAAAATGTAGTCTGAGTCAAAAGCACTATAAGGGTATATTCCCTTCTTCCCCGTGTTATCTCGGTGTTGATTAACATTCATGATACATGTGACACTTTGGAATAGGTAGATGGGTGTTACTTAGCCTACTAGGCTATGGTCCTTCACTTGTGTGCTCTTGGGCTGTAGAGTATAGTACAGTGGTTCTCTGCCTTTGTCATACCGCAGTCAAGTAAATTCTTTTTCCTCTAAGACAAGGGCCTGGTATATGGGCCGTGGCCCAGCAGTTTAGAAACACTGGTATAGTGTATATACGAATGAAGGACTATAGCCTAGTAGGTTAAGTAACACCCATATGTCTGTTCCTAAGTGTCACATGTGTCACGAATACCAGTCAACACCAAGCTAAAATGGGGGAGAAGGGACTACACCCTTATAGCACTTTTGACTCACACTGTATTGTACCTAATTTTACTTCGGTGTTATGGGATCAATTTTACCAAATCTACATTATAAAGTAGCAATTTTACAATTTCATAATTTTTATGATGTATATCAACAAATTCATCACAGATAGTTAGACAGAAATGATTGTAAATATGGGCCCATATGTAGTTAAAATGGTAAAAAGGTAAAGTTGTCCCTGTTCTCAACAAATTAAACACTTATGCCATGAAGGCACATAGGGGAGTGGATATATAATCCTCATTTTTTCGATCTTTGTATTAGCTGGAGGTGAGTGGTCAGCTTCACGCCCCTGCCACTTTACCCCTGGGGAAAGAGCCCCCCAGTACCCATTGGATAGGAGGTAGTGTGGACCCTATAGCCAGTCTGGAGGATTTGGAGAAGAGAAAATTCTTGACCCTACCAGGACTCGAACTCTGACCCCTCAGTCATCCAGCCTGTAGCCAGTCACTATACCCACTACACTACCCCAGCTAGTTAAAATGGTAAAAGTAAGTAGAGCTATCCCTGTAAGAGGCCGTGAAGGCCCATAGGGTTGTGAGATGTTGAGGGTCCCACATTATCTAGACAATCAGCTCAAAGATGGCAGTAAGGTTGTCAGCCTTACGCGCCGGCCCTGTTTTACTCCCCAGGAAAATTATTTAATTAATTCCTGGTACTCATTTTTGTTAGAGGCTGAGTTGACCCCAGGGCGATAGTGTAGCCAGAAGGATTAGGTCAATTGAAAAAAATCCAGAGTCTTCATCGGGACTTGAACCCCCAACCTTCTGGCTTGTAACATAGTGCCTCAGACAACTACGCTACTGCATGCCCCTACTTAAAATGATTGCAATTCAAAAACACTTTCAAGTATTGTATCACCTGATGGTGACCAGTTGGATGATTGAAATATATGGTGATCTTTAGTAAACAGTTGAATGGGTATACATTCTTAAAGTTGCGTAGATGGAACACGGCAGTTAGACTTAGACTTACTGGGGAGATAGGTAAATGTATAGTTCACAAAATACTTTTGCACAGACTTAATTTTTAAAGCAAGCTGTAAGAGGTGGTCTTAGTTTCTCTCATACTCAAATAATGATTCAATCATCTCATCTGATGCAGTAAAAATATGCTACCACTAAATTTTCTTTTCAGTGTGTGAAACATTACTATCTTGCAGTTGTTCAACTGCGTTACTGTACAATAACAATAGAATACAATAGAATAACCTATTGATGTGAATGGAATATGCTGCATGAGCACCACAACGGTTTTCTCCTAGGGGCAGGAGAGCCACAGAATTTGCTTACAAATTTGCATTTATATCGCTTAAGACAATCTTTAATGTAAGCCTTAGACTGTTCAGGGCAGAAGAATCCCCCCCTCCTCCTTCTGTGACCATAACATGCTTTAAAACAAAACAGGTTTTTGAGTGCTCAATTCTGTCTGAACAACTGGATAAAATACCTGAATTTGACAAATGCATTCCATTTGGCATTAAGAAGATCCACAAGCATGCCATCCATCAGTTCTAAATGTTCGTCTTTATCCTGAAATATCCAAAGAAATTAACACATGATTTTGACAATATACTCGTACGAGAAATAAACACTAATCTGTAGGGATGATTTTAAGTGACTTATCAGTTGACACTTATTTTATATGGATTATCTGAAATTATATTCCCTTAGAAACAAAATATAAGTGTGGATATGAAACTGATGTCCTGTATTGACAAGATGTGGCATATTAAGAAAATTTTAAATTGGAAAAATAATTGGTCAAGATATTTCAGAAAAAGATCTATATTGTAGATGATTTCATGGCGATTCATTGCTGATGTTGGTCCTGTTTTTACATTGCTGAAGTTATCAGTGGACAACCAAATGAGTACATGTAGTGAAAGAACTGGCTAAAGCCATGGAATAACCACTTTACCTTGTAGATGGAGACAATATGCATCTCCAAAAGAAGGACAATGAAAATCACTTAAATATAGTAAAATTACCAAAGAGCAAGGTCAACACCAGGACAGTGTTGCACACATTTCGGCTGTCAGGAGATGGAATTGGTGTTTCTTACCCCAAACACAACCAGGTTTAGTGCTGAGTTCTTGCTGATGTTCCCTGTTTCAATATCAATAGTATCAATTTGTTCTAGTGGGTATGCAGCACAAGTAATACTTCCTGCAAGTAAAGGATACACACAGCCTCATACAAATAAGATTCATTTCAGAATTCCATTGTGTGTATCTGATGAACAACAGTGTAATGTCATGTGTATAAATAGTGTCAATATCAAATATCAGACCTCAATACAAAGTTAGGTCACCATTGAAGAGGTTTACTTTTAAGTTAGCAATAAAAATTTCTGAATTTTAGCTTGGAGCTGCAAATTCACTGTAAGTATCAACTCAACAGAGATACATTTTGAAAAACTTGTTGTGGACCTCATAATTTTCCATCCTGCCAATTTAAACTTTACAATTTGCGACTTTCTTTTCTTACAGTCATCATATTGATACACCTGAAGAGCAAATCCATTCTTCTCCTGCCAACCACAGTACTATTTATAGTTCCAATTTCAGAAAGCTGTGTCACTTATTTTTTAAATTCAGCAGAACTGCTAGACATTCTATAGCATTCACTTAGTGGGGGGTGAAGCCCAGCTGGGTCCACTCGGCACGGCGGCCACTGATTGGCCTATTGTACCTGCCCCTGGTGATTATGATGATGGAGAATTTGGTGGAATGAAAATTGGCAGGGGAAACCGAAGAACTCTGAGAAAATCCGCCCCAGTGCCACTTTGTCCACCACAAATCCCACTTAACCAGACCCGGGATCGAACCCAGGCCGCCGCGGTGGGAAGCCGGCGACTAACGGCTTGAACTATGGCTCGGCCTTCTATAGCTTTGGTTCTTGTGGATCTCAATTTGGATTCAATCTGTGTGCCTGGAGAAATTGAGAAAACCCACAAACACAAATTTATAGTGTCACCACTTCACCAACATGTTCAGCTATCAAAGGTGATGGGTTATGAATGAAAGGGCATGATGTTCTCAGTGGAAGTTGAGTCATCAGGTTTAGTTTTTCTTACCCTGATCCCTATGGACCTGAAGACAATAATTTTTGTCAAGTTTTCTCTATTTATTAACACTTTTTAGCTGCATAGACTTTATGTGTATCCTTACCTATCTGCCAATATATCTCTCGCTCAATGTTGAGGATGTGGAAGAATATCTCTATTCGTGCAAGCTTGGCAGACAGGGTGAGTGGTGTGAGGTTCTGCAAGTTACGCACTGCTAGAGACGCACCAACCTTATAGGCCATGTCAAAAGTTGACTTACAAACAATGGAAACAAATGTCCATCAGGGCATATACTATATAACCTCTTTATTAAGACCGTCACAACACAACTATATCAAGGTCAGTGCCTGGTTTTGGCTCTGCTACATGTTTCGGCTATTAATAGCCATCATCAGACAAATACATGGCTAACATATATACACCACTGAACTGCAGTATTAATAAATTGGATACAATAATATTAATTATATTAAAATACTTGATGTAAAAATACAATAAATTAGATTATATAAAACAAAAGTTATAGTATAAAGCAAGAATAAAATTCTTCGATTGTTGCTTTACATCATCGAGTCAATTGTTGGTTTATGTGATTTTGTTTCATTCCCATGGACAAATTAGAATATTCTATATTTTGTGTATAAAAACAATTATTGGAGGCTCATGATGTAGATGTAGTAATATTAATGTTAATTTGTATTTAGTTGGTGCCTCATCTTCCAAGTATTGTCCATTCTATAGGGAATGTAAACAGCAACTCTTGGCCAGCATATGATTGCTCATGGTTGAAAGTGAACTACTCTGTGATAAGTAGCACAATCAGCAGCAAAGTCATGTGTGACTGTACAGATCTTCCTTCCTCCCCGCACTTCCTACCCTCAGTTGCCCCAGGCACACATCAACAGAATAACAGGGCTTCATCGACCTGGGGCAACCGTTAGTTGGTTGTGTAAAACATATTTACCTGAATGTTAGAATTAGCTGATACAATGGTGTTGATAATGGTGATGTCACTGGTGACAATGACGAAGATGATAATATCATTGATTATTGTTGTTGTTATGGAGATAGCTATAATGATGGTGGTAATTGTGTTAATAACATGAGAATATAATTATTTTTAGGAGGGAGGAATGTACCCTGAGATGCAACAGAAAGTGAATGATAGTGTTGGACCATGCCAAAATGATTCTACACTAGAATGTCAAATGAAACAAATGCAATAGCTGACAAAAACTATCCTCTGTTAGTAAAGCCCTTCTGGGTGGGTCAGTTTCACATCAGGCAGAACATTGTTTTTGAAATTGGGTTTCTCAACTAAATGTTTAAGTACTCACCAGTTTTTCATATATGACCAACATGTGGAGTACAGTATTTCCATTTGTGTCCTGATTATTAGGATTGGCACCCCTGGCCAACATCAGCCTGTAACATTCTTCCTGGCCCAAACATGCAGCAAAAGACAGAGGGTATTCTCCCCAGTACACGTAACTGTGATGCACAACAAAAATATGAACATACTTCAGCTGGAATTTTGTTCAATTCTGAACAGTACTGTAAGAATCTAACATTCAACAAGCTTAATTCAGTTTCTAAGTTAGAAGTCTGCAATAAGCGTTGATATATAGGAATTGTTCTCTCTAAGATCAATGGCTTAATGTTCATGTTTCATTTATTAACATAGTATGTGGAAGGTATGCACCTGAAAACCATATAGAGTAACAGTGAGCTGGTTAAATCAGCAGTAACATGCACTCTGTTATCAGATCAAGGAATAGCTGAATTGCTACCACATTGTTTTACTAATCAAGTTACTTGTTTAACATGTAGTTATTCTTCATTCATTTAATGGCCCAAATCCTAGTCACGATGGGACAATTAGTGAATAATGGATTGGAAGAGATATAGAAGGAAGTATTTTTGGCCTAATTTCAGGTATTCTCTATATTCATCTGGAGGGAGCACAAAAGAACATCAGTCAGGATAGTAGATATTTCAAGCCAAGATGTGAACCCAAGACCTCCAAAGTGAAAAACAAGGCCTTCTTCACTCAAAAAATTATGTCACAAACTTAAACAAAAAGAAAATAATGAAAACAGTAACATCTCAATTATGTTATCTCTTACACTGCCAAAAAACATGTAGGTACCATATGTTCATTACATTAACTCCATCATGAAATCAGTGACAGTCAGGAATTCAGTGGAGCCAGGGTTTCCTGGGAAGCATCCCAATGTTTTTTCAAGTCCTGGGCCATCACCTTGGTATTTATTTTAAAAACAGTGACATAAAACATGAATGGATTTCAGACCACGTTCAGTTAATTTCTAACATATCCAAATGAGGCACAAGCATTAGGCTTTTCAAGTATATGCATTCTGTAAAATGTTTGTTTTGAGGTGTAAATTTAGTAGTTTAAAGTTATCATTAAAAATGGTCTCATATCATGAAGATTCACACCCATTTCTTTTAACCTAGAACTGCACACAAAACTGCCAAAGCAGTTTCATTTTTTAGGGCTACATGCCTGGTATCAATGTGTATTACTGACTTTATTACACATTTAGTAATAGCGTGCTTGGATTCATGTGGAAGGGTTTGATAGTTCTCTATTAAGTCAGGCCAAACCATACCTAACACATGACTCTGCTTCACAGACATTCTGTCTGTAAAATCTACTGCACAAATCCTCACGTGTGGAGTGTTAGTGTGTCACTGTTCCTAATGGTCAGATATGATACTGTGACATGTTGACCCCTACCTCCCCAGCGGTACGTGGCGGTAACGTAACGCTCGCGTTACTACGGTAATAGGCGAGTTCCCGCCCCGCCACTCCCCTCCGCGGTGACGTCACCGAGGGATATCGCGGTCGCTAGGCAACGCGAGTCAACAGCGGCGACGTTACGATAGTAACAGCGGTTACCTCCGCTAGCGTTACATAGCAACACAGCGCCAGGCAAAAAGGGTGCCTATTACGCGGCCGTTTTCCATATGGTCCGATCGAGGCTACATGAGGCGCAGCGAAGGCTATTCAGAGAGTTGTTGTACTGAGTTGTACTGTGACAGCCGCCGAGTCGAGACGTAGAATCAGCCAGTTGTATTCTGGCATTTGGAGTGTACTAATTGTGATACTGCAGATAGCAGTAATCGTCAGATTGTAATTTGGGTGATTGTAAGTGCGAATGTGAAATAAAATTCGCTACATCGAATACATCGAGAATTTATTTGTCGCGATATACGCCCGATACGCGACAATACCAACAAACCAACCAATGAAACTAGTCTTTTATAACACTGTACTCACCCCTCATAGTTGGTTTCAGGAGAGAGATTGACGTATTCATGATCAAGTGAGTCTGTACGGGAACCTTTCTGATCCTCTGGGCACATAAAGTTACCGACACAACGCTCGTGGTAATCTGCACCTGAATCCAGCAGGAACTTCACCATTGCAGGGTCCTCATTCACAATTGCCAGATGCAGTACAGTCTCTCCTGGAATTAACTGTTCTTATTAGTCTTCAGTGTACTAAATCATTGTTAGATTATCCATATAAATATAGCAATTGGCTCATATTGAGAAGAATAATAGCAGCTTCAATGTTATTGCTTTTGTTATTTTATTATTACTGTATATCATCATCACATGAGTCATTGGTATTGAAGCCTCATTTGGGTCTATTATACCGGTCCTAGATGATAGATGAGTATGGAACATTGGTTGAATGGTAACTGGCAGGCAAAGAGAGAAGTGCCCTACTCCAGTGCCAGCCTGTTCGCTACAAATCCTACATGAACTATCCTGGTACTGAACCAAGGCCACTATGATCAGAAGCATGAGCTTCAAGCCTTTGTTACTTTTGTTTACTTTTGGACCCTGGTGTCTAATAATAATAATAATAATAATAATAATAATAATAATAATAATAATAAT